GGGGAGCGCAAACGCAGACCCCCCCCCCCCCGCCGCTCCTCTCTGTTTATTGCTTTGGAGCATAACCCCGTATCCCGGCGTCGTGTGTACGCTAGCACATCTGACTTGCATATTAAATACAGCCAAATAAGTGATTCCACATGGCGCTGGGCTGCTCCGGAGCCAGACGGGCGGCGGCTGCCAAGCGCTCCCCGGTTAAGCCCACGGCCGCCGCTGCTGGACCTGCTGCCGCAGCCGGAAGAAGCCGAGATCTCAAAATAGTTGCGAAGCGTCTCCTTTCGGGTGGGGTGGAAGATTCTTTCCATCCCAGGATGACTCAAATATGCGCTTTAACCTTTTCGTTTTGCTTGCTTCCGTACTTCCCAAGCCAGCTCTGAGCCTCCTCTCGCACCACCGGGCGCCTCTGATGTGATCACTGGAGCACCGGGGCACTTCACAGCCCCACGACGGCCTCGTCCGGCTCCAGCAGAGCCCACTGCTCCTCCTCGCTGCACAGAAGTGAGGAGGATCCCAGGAAAACCACGGCCAGCGGGAATGGCCCAGGTTTGCCCAGCAGAGCCCTCGTCGCTGCTGCTTTCCTTCACAGAAATGAGCTTTTTTTTGGTCCTAACATCAATGTGAAGCGAAGGAATTACATCCAGAGAACTCAATCACTACAGCACAAGAAGAATCCTCCTTAAAAACATCTAAAAAATGTTACAAATACCCCCAGCCTCCACTTTCTCTAACTTTATCACACATTTACCTGCCACACAAGGAGCTTTAAACCACATTTCGGGAAGCGCCTGCCCTGCTCACGTTCCTGCGCCCGCCTTCCTGGTCTCCCCTGCACTTGCCCACCCCTACCTTGTCTTCCTTCCCTCATCCTCACACACAAAAGCAAAAAGCCCCAAAGTCACATCAAATTAAGTGTCTGGAAATGGTCGATACCGTAAAAACAAGAGTTTGCATTCAGCTTTCTAAGAAAAGGAGACCCGGGCTTGACCCCTGAAACCACGAGACCTCCCTGGAGAAAAGGCAGAGCCACAGAAACCACGGATTTAGTGGTTTTATTTTACTCACTTTGA